GCATGTGTGCCATGTGCGTGTGCGGTACCTCGTGTACCATGAATTGGTGGTTGTGTTGGTGGTTTGTTGGTGGGAGAGTACGGTCCCAGGAGGGAAAAGGTTGGACTATGAAGTACAGGGGGTCCTGGAGGTAATGGTTGGAAAGAAGATACAAGGTTGGGGGTAGCCATAAGGTTGGAACAGGGCATAAGGAAGGTATATCAACTTTTGGCGGGTGATGTCACGAGGGCTTGTGTAGCCGTGGTTGTGTGTTCTCTTTCTTGTGATGTGTGTAGTCACAAGGGCATGTGTTGCCATCGGTCTTGTCTTTATCCTTTGCGTTGTGGTTATCCTTTGTGGTTTTGGGATGTGTTTCCGTATCTTTGTTGATGAGTGTTGAGTCTTGAGTTGGTGTTTACTCTTGGTTTTACACTTATATATATGTATTCCGTTTCCAAATGATTTTTGTATATACCCTACCTATGTATGATAATTAATAGATGATTAAATTTGGGAATTTTGAACAAAGTGGGATTTAAGGTTTACAAAGAATTAAAATGGGTTAGGTTCCAAGAAAGATAATTGGCTCAATTGGTTTAGAGGTTGGGTATTAAAGAAATTGGCTAAGGTTCAATACTCAAAGGCTACAAAGATACATTAGCCTTAACTTTTAGGCTACACAAGGAAAAATTTTGGTAGGGATTTTTTCTATTTTCCAAATCAAAGAATACTTGGAAAATTTAGGGAAAGCTCAAGGAATTAAGGTGGAAGAATTGGGCTAAGCACAAGATAACTCAAGGATAGATGGCTACCACAAACAAGATACCAACTAAAGAGAACACTTAGCAAGAAAAGAGTCTACACCAAGCATCCAACGAAATACTAACAAGGAAAGCATGCCAAGGATTTCCAAACAAAGACAACTACGAAACACAAGATAACACCCAAGGCAACAAAGAACACAACGCTCTCGGGAACACAAGGATAGGCTCGAAACAAGGGTTACCTGCTAACTCCTCCTCCACCAGACCCTCCGACTCCGCCTGCAAACGCGCCATCACGAAAACTCTCCCAGGTGGCCTAGCTCCAACAGCTCCACGACTCGAACTCCCTCTTGGTGCTCCTCCAGCTCTCGAGGGTGGCGGCAACGCTCTCTGACCGACAAGCTGAGGACACTCCGCAACTCTATGACCAACAACCCCAAAGCGAAAACACTTAAACGCCTGGCCATAGCAAACTTGACCCGGATGCACCTTCCCACACTTGCGACAACCAACCAACTTAGCTTGAACCGAAGGCTCCATCCTAACTGGTCCTTGAGAAGAAGATGACACAACTCTAGCCGGAAAACTCGGTCGTGGCTTCTTGAAAGCAAAAGAACCACCACTCTCAACTCTCTTCCTAGCCAACTCAAGCGAACTCTTCTGAAGCTGCTGAACACGAAACAGATCCGCGACACACAGATACGCATCCTTGAGGGAACTAGGCATGATTCATGATGATGTTTCTGAGAAGAAGTATTATATTGAAATTGCATTGGGAGTTACAGTACAACAGTTTATATACATGATATCTAACAGAATAGTAGTTAACAAAGCTAAAGACTAGTTAACAAAGCTAAAGACTAGGCCATGCTAAGCTATGAATGCTAACTGCCTAATACACCCCCCTCAAGCGGAAGGCGGGCACGGCACGACGCCAAGCTTGAACCGTAAATCAATGAATCGAGACACAGATAGGGGTTTGGTGAAAATGTCAGCCAGTTGATCATGAGTAGACACAAAATTTACCTTAAGAGCACCAGACGCCACCTTGTCCCGAACAAAGTGATAGTCCACTTCTACGTGTTTGGTCCGTGCATGGAATACCGGGTTCGAGCAGTGATAGGTCGCACCCAGATTATCACACCAAAGTACGGGAGTCGTGGGGCAGGCCAAAGCTAGATCCTTTAGAAGAGACTGAACCCAAACCACTTCAGCGGAGACATCTGCAAGGGCTTTGTACTCAGCCTCGATGGAGGAGCGAGCGACAGTCCGTTGTTTCTTTGAGCCCCATGAGATTAAATTGGGTCCAAGAAACACCGCATAGCCAGCTGTAGATTTCCTGTCAACTGAACAACCGGCCCAGTCAGAGTCTAAGAAGGCATGAACCACAGGAGATACTGAACCTGCAAGTCGAAGCCCAAGACAGAGCGTGCCTTTCACATAGCGTAAGACACGCTTAAGTGCAGCCCAGTTGTCTTCTTTAGGATTGTGCATGAACTGACACAATCAGTTGACTGAAAACGACAAGTCTGGCCTCGTGATCAGTAAGTACATAAGAGAACCAACTAGTTGGCGATAGAGAGTCGGATCATCCAAAGGAGAGAAAGTAACGTCACTAGCTGCCGTGGTGACGGTAATGGGAGTAGAAAGCGGCTTACAGGAGTCCATCCCAGCTTTGCGAAGCAGTTCAGTCATATACCGTCGTTGAGATAACAGTACTACACTGTCAGTGTATAGAGCCTCAATGCCGAGGAAGAATCGCGGTTACCCCAAGTCGCGGATCTTGAACGTCGAGGCAAGCTGCTTCAATATGAACATCACCTGCGAATCATCATTCCCTAACAAGAGAATGTCATCGACATATACCAGGATATAAACACGGACTTGGCCAAAATCATAAATGAATACGGAAACATCAGTTTTAGAAGGCCGAAACCCAACTGACACGAAGAACTCTTGCAACCTTGTAAACCACGCCCGGGGGGCCTGTTTCAGGCCATACAACGACCTCTGAAGCTTACAGACGTGATCGGGGAAGCTCGGATTGGCATACCCAGGTGGCTGCCGCATGTAAATATTTTCAGTAATGTGTCCGTTTTAGAACGCATTATGAACATCCAGCTGTTTCATAACCCAGTTGTTGGACACATCATAGGCTAATAAAAGCCGGACCGTAGCCGGTTTGACAACCAGACTATACGTTTCTGAATAGTCAATGCCGGGAACTTGGTTGAACCCTTTGGCCACCAAGCGGGCTTTATACCTCTCGATTGTGCCATCAGACTTGCGTTTATGCGGTACACCCATTTGCTACCTATTACATTCATTGTGTTACAAAAAGGTACTAATGTCCAAGTGTTATTTTGTAGTAGTGCATTAAATTCTGCATCCATCGCATTGCGCCAGTGTTGACTTTTGACCGCTTGAGAGTGGCAGGATGGTTCATCGTCATCAACGGAGGCAATCATGGCTCGGGGAGGGCGGCGCTGCTGACTTGTTGTGTCTCGCAGACTCATGACATGCTTGCGAGTCGGCGAGCATTTCCGTCGGGGACGAGGTACAGTTGTCGATGAAGTGGTAGGGTGGTAAGAAGAATCCGTAGTATGAGCTGACGAACTTTGTATAACATTAGTCGGTTGAGCATTGCTGCCGGTAGGTGAGTCTCTGGTCGGGCGAGGCATTGACGTGGACTGTGTTGTATCATTGATCATGGGTTGAGCAATCTGGACACACGCCCACGGTATTTGGCTGGTGCTAGAGCCACATTCCTGCGTTATTTCTGGGCTGTACTGGAATGGGAATACATCCTCATTGAACCGCACATGACAAGCAATATATACTCGCCCCGTTGTTCTGTCCAAGCACCTGTAACCACTAAATGAATCGGGGTAACCCAAAAAAAAAAACACAAGACACAGACCGGAACTCCATTTTATGTGTGTTGTAAGGACGCAAACACGGAAAGCATTCACAACCGAACACTTTTAAAAGATTATAGTTCGGTGACTTATGAAAAAGAAAGAAGTACGGACTTTGATTATGAAGAACTGAAGTTGGCATCCGATTGATTAAATATACTGCTGATTCAAAAGCGAAATGCCAATATTTATGTGGGACATGACTATGGGCTAGCAGAGACAGACCAGTCTCCACAACATGACGATGCCTACGTTCTACTAGACCATTTTGTTCATGTGTGTGGGCACATGACTGGCGATGTAAAATACCTGCAGCTGCAAACACCGAATGCAACTTTCGGTATTCACCACCTAGGTCAGATTGGATACTTTTAATTTGACTTGAGAAATATTTTTTGACTAAGGCACGAAAATGTGGAAATATTGAATAAATGTCTGTTTTATTTTTCATCGGATAATACCAAATGTATCTTGAATAGTCATATACAAATAGTACAAAATATTTAAAACCTTCAGTCGTGGTGACCGATGAAGGTCCCCAAATATCTGTGTAGACTAATTCAAGAACTGATGTTGTGGAATGCGTAAGTTGTGACAAGGGAAAGCGAGTGGACTTCCCAATTTGACAAGCAGTACAGACTTTGTTCAAAGAACTTATAGAATTATTAACTGGACAAGTAGACAAAACCTGACGTAGGACTTGAACATGCGGGTGACCGAGACGTTTATGGCAGACTTGAGCTGATGTTCTAGCAGACAAAAGGGCAACTGGAGATGGAGCACTGAGCGAGTACAATCCACCTTCGCTGGGACCTTTAAGAAGAATTTGGTGGGTAACCCGGTCCTTCACAAAAAAACAATAGGGATGAAATTCAAAATAAACATTGTTATCCCGTGTAAACTTTTGCACGGATAACAAAGAAGCACGTAACTTTGGAACGTGTAAAATTTTATTTAGAAACAGTGACCGAGACGGGGTAGAAATGGAAACTGAACCTGTACGCAGAATTGACAGACCTGAGCCATCGCCAACCTTTAAATTCTCGGTCCCCGTATATGGTTCGGTGTCTTGTAAGATTCCTGAATTTGGTGTGGCATGAGGATTCGCCCCCATGTCTGGAATCCATACATTATTAAACGGAGATGTTGCGAAGTCATCTTGAGGATGCTGTTGGTACGCCACATTGGCACGCGGTGGAGCTGGTTGACTCCAGGTTTGGTGCGGCTGGCGAACGGCGGGGTCATCATTGTAGCGCCGGTAACACGTCAAGGCGGTGTGGCCGGGGATGTCACATATTTGGCAGCGAATTACTCCACGTCCGCGTTAGCCACGACCCCGTTACCCTCTGTGGTTACGACCACGACCTCGGTTTCCGTCAGGAGGGTTCGCCGCAGCTGGCTGCTGGGTGAAGAGGGCCGACGGAAATTGTGGCAAGGGAGGTGATGCATCGTCCGCAAACAGATATTGATGCGTTGCGAGGAGATCAGCCACCTCCGGCAACGTCAATGGCGCACTTTTGGACGTGAGGGAAGCCACCAACGCTCTGTACTCTGATCGCAGGCCTCGAAAGACATGGAGGTTCTGCTCGTCGAGGTTTACCGGACGGCCGGCCTGAGTGAGCTGCTCGACGAGGACTAGGCACGGCTGAGATACTCCGTGGGTGAAGAGTCCCCTTGTCGAAGGTTTTGAAGCTGAGACAACAAGCTGAGAGATCGCGGCCGTGATGAAGAGCCGAGTGCCGTCTCCAACGCCACCCATACTGCTCGCGACGTACCATGGCCAGTGGCTAGGTACAGGACCTCTTCAGCAAGAGAGGAGAAAAGCATGCTCAATATGGATTGATCTTGCTGAATCCATTGAGCACAGAGAGGATTGACCACCGGCGGCGCATCGGAGGAGGACGCAGCAACAAGTTCCGGTGGGCAGACGGATGTGCCGTCGACGAAACCAAACAGGTTCTGTCCTTTAAGAAATGGTACAAGCTGCGCTCTCCAGAACAAATAGTTCGTGGCAGTCAGCTTAATTGACACGTAATGATGTGCCTGGTGTAGAACATTTGACGGCGGCGTGGTGGTTGCGACGGCGGGAGTGATCGCTTGAGGGTTCTCCGCCGGTGAGGTGCCGTCGGCCGGCTGGGAGTTGGCGCTGGAAGCATTGGCCATCGAGGATCAAAGGTAGGAAAGAAAAAAAAAATTGGCTGTGATACCAGATTGATGATGATGTTTGTGAGAAGAAGTATTATATTGAAATTGAATTGGGAGTTACAGTACAGCAGTTTATATACATGATATCTAACAGAATAGTAGTTAACAAAGCTAAAGACTAGTTAACAAAGCTAAAGACGATGCCATGCTAAGCTATGAATGCTAACGGCCTAATAGGCATTCTCACCGTCAACGCTTTTCGTGCCTCATAATTCAAACCGGCAACGAAACGCTCAACTTTGGCAAGCTCTGTAGGCACCAACACCCTCGCGAAGCGCACCATCTGTAGGAACTTCTTGTGGTACTCCACCACAGATAGAGCTCATTGCTGCAGATGAAGGAACTCATCAAACATGGCAGCTCGCACATGCGCTGGGTAGAACCTTTCGCGCATCCTGTCCTTGAGCGCGGTCCAATCAAACCTAGGCTCTTCAAGAAAGGCCGGACTCTCGTGAACCCACCACAGATTAGCTTCTTGGCAGAAGTAGAAAGTTTCCAGTTCTACTCTCCTCTCTTCGGGACAGCCTACCACGGTAAAAATCTTATCAAACACCCATAGCCACTCTTCAAGGACTACAGGGTCTTCTTCACCAGCAAAGGAAGGCGGCCGATGCCCGGACACTAGGCGACCCACATCACGGTGCCCAACCGGAGGCGGAGGCGGCGCAGCTTGATTGTTGTTCAACAGAGCTTCACTGAGAGACTGCATCGTCTGCGTCAAGTGATGGAGATTCTGGGTGAGCTGCTCGTTGGTCGGGGTCTCTGGGGAGCGAGCGCGAGGACGAGGAGGCATCGTACTTCTGCTACAACAACAAGGTTACCAAAAGAACAAGCAAGCAAGCAAGACAGAAAGCAACACACATCTCACCGCGCAACCTAGAGTCCTAAGTCTAACACTTACCTCCTTAAGGTCGCTTAGAGGTCTCAAAACACACTTAAACACTTAGAAAGTCTAGACTCAACTCTTCCTAGGCTCTAAACCAAGGCTCAAAACCTAGGCTCTGATACCAACTGTAACACCCCCCAAAAACAAGACCTAAAAACAAGTCTTAACACATGCAGATTAACACAAACACTAGCACAGCGGAAGAAAACGGAAACTGGATAAAAGAAATCCGAAACAGGGGTGTTATCCCACGTCTACCACACCCGGTAAACGCTAAGGCGAACAATCTGCAAGTGTATCACTATCCCAAAACATCAAACTACAAACAGTCTAAAACCATTGGCTCGCAGGCCACAAAAACACAATCTAAAGGTACAGGCACTAAGCTACCAGCTCTAGACATCACGCTTGACTACTCAACACCTGAAAGATACAAAGATAAACATCGGGGCGACGCCCGGTCAGCGAAAGATGCTGGTAACCCACCAATACCGTTAAGTATCATAAATAGGTAGATATAAGATATAAAAACCATTTTCAAAATGGAATACATATATATAAGTCAAAAGCCAAGATCAGAAGACAACACAAGACTCACCACTCACAAGGGTAACACCGGGAACACATCCCAACCACAAAGGTTAACCACACACAAGGATAAAGACTCACCCAACGGCAACACATGCCAAACAACACAAGCCTCCGTGACTACACACGTCACGAGAGAAGAGAACTCACCACAACAGCTACACAAGCCCTCGTGACATCACCCATCACGAGTTGATATGCCTTCCTTATGCCCTGTTCCAACCTTATGGCTACCCCCAACCTTGTACCTTCAAAGCCAACCATTACCTCCAGAAATCCCCTGTACAGCCAAGTCCAACCTTATTCCGCCGGGACCGTCGTCCCCCACCTATAACCACCAACGAAAACCCACCAATCACGGCAACACATACCCGGATAACACAATGTTATCCCCCAATCACGTGGACTCAGCCACAGCTCCATAATCACGTCACGGCCACCACGAGGACCGCTTCAATACCTTGGTGACTAGCGTCCCATACCACTAATCGTGCAATCCAGGTAGAGCCACACACGCACCACCACGCACACGAAACGATCAACGGATTGCAAAGAAGGTATGAAACACACTCGATCAAGGAACGGGTCACAACCCAACAACAACAACGATGAATAACACAAGTTATCATCAACCAAACGGAAGGTACGAACAACACACACGCTAGTATTAAGACAACGAACTAGCATGCTTAACAACGGGGAAACTCAATATAGTTCCGAGGAACACACAAGACACCACTCGGTTCAACGAAACACAAAGTTGAACACTTTGAACGATTCAAAACACCAAAGATCCTACATGGATACCTACCATAAAGCTCTAGACCTACGAAACATCAAGAAGACACTCAAATAGTTCCACAAAGAACACCGAGAAGTCAAAAGATCAAACACCGAGACAAACGAATCACGGGGAACAAATCCCGAACCAACTCCACTGTGTTCCCCGCGGGTGGACCCACGGGTAGTGCCCCACCCGTGGTCCCGCCCGCGGGTACACTACCCACAGGGCGACACGTTCCCCGCGGGTGGTGCCCCGCCCGCCGTTCCGCCTGCGGGTACGTCCCTGTACCACAACAAATCCCTTCGGGGATTTTCTCATCCAAACACAAATTCAAGTCCAAAACACACCAAATCTCACCAAACACAACAAAATGACTTGAACCAAGGAAAATGCCAAGCAATGGCACAAGGGAATCCTAAACACTAGCTCTAGATATGCAATATCACAAGATAAATGCATAAACTCTCACATTTCATAGCAAAACACAAATAGAAGCCAAGAAATCATATATAGGTAAGCAAAATAGGTTTTGTAGAGCATGGGTTACCTCTTGAAGACCAAAAGACTCATCTTATACCACAACAAGCTCTCCACTAAGCTCACTAGCCAAACCCACTTCAAGATCAAACCAAAAGATCATAATGATCCTACCTTTAAGAAAAGACAACTAAGATGGAACCAAAAAGACTAGACAAGCTTAGATCTTACCCTTCTAGATGCCCAAATAGAGGAAAGATTGAATCTTGGAAGCAAAACTTGGAATCTTGACAAAGGTCTCACTTGGCTTGAAGAACAAGCTACTCTTCTTTTCTAGAGAGAAGGTAGAGATATTTTCTAGGAATTATAAGGGATGAAAAATGAAGAAGCCTTCTAGTTTTAGGTTACAAAACTAACTCTTGGTGAAAAGACAAGGGACCCTTACTAACTCTTAGAAAGTGTAAGGAACAAGGGAACTCCTCTCAAAGCACAAGGTACAACACCGCTTAAAGATTGAATAGTCAAATACTAGTCCTTGAGTATCAAAAATCAGGATTTTAGGAATCAATTCCTCAAGAGAAATAGAATTAATTACTCAATTAATTCATGGATTGGAGTGTGGATTTTTGGGGTGTCACAGTTGTAGTGTTAGACTGTTACCTTTTGGGATAGATGTATACACTTCCAGATTGATCGCCGTAGCATTTACCGTGTTTGGTAGACGTGGCATAACACCCCGTTTGGATTTCTTTTATCCAGTTTTCGTTTTATCTTCTTCCGCTGTGCTAGTTTTGTTGTATGATCTGTAGGTTTTAAGGCCTTTTATATACGTCTTGTTTGGGGGGTGTTATAGTTGGTATCAGAGCCTAGGTTTTGAGCCTAGGAAGGGTTTAGTCTAGACTTTCTAAGTGGTTATGTGAGTTTTGAGACCTCTAAGCGACCTTAAGAAGCTAAGTGTTAGGCTTAGGACTCTAGGTTGCGCGGTGAGCTCTGTGTTGTTTTCTGTTCCTTGTTTGTTGCTTCTCTTATCGTGTTGCTGTTGTAGAAGTTGCGATGCCTCCTCGTCCTCACGCACGCATCCCGGAGACCCCGACCAACGAGCAGCTCGCTCAGAACCTTCATCAACTAACTCAGACCACGCAAACGCTCAGTAAGCTCTGTTGAATAACAATCACGCTATGCCGCCTCCTCCCCCTGCTGGGCACCATGACTTAGGACGTTTAGTGTCAGGTTATCAGCCGCCAACCTTCGCTCGTGAGGAAGACCATGTAGTCTATGAAGAGTGGCTACAAGTGTTTGATAAGATCTTCACCGTGGTGGGCTGCCCCGATGAAAGTAGAGTAGAACTGGCAACGTTCTACTTTTGCCAAGAAGCGGACTTGTGGTGGGTACCCGAGGGCCCGGCTCTTCTTGAAAAACCAGAGTTCGGCTGGACAACGCTCAAGGACCGGATGCGTGAAAGGTTCTACCCGGCACATGTGCGCGCTGCCATGTACGAAGAGTTCCTCCACCTGCAGCAAGGGTCCATGTCTTTGGTTGAGTACCACAAGAGGTTCTTGGAGCTGGCACGTTTTCCGAGGATGCTTGTGCCTACGGAGCTCACCAAAGTCGAGAAATTCGTGGCCGGTCTGAACTATGAGGCGCGAAAAGCGTTAACTGTGAGTAGGCCGAGTTCTCTTAAGGACGCTTACGTGTGCGCCGCTGATCTGTATCGTGTGCAGCAGCTTCAGAGGGGTTCATTTGAGCAGGTTAGGAAGAGATCTGAGGGCGGAAGTTCTTCTACCTTCAAGAAGTCAAGACCAAGTTTCCCAGCCAGGATCGTGTCATCTTCTTCTCAAGGACCTGTCAGGACGGAGCACGAGAACCAAGCTAAGGCATCCCTTTGTCAGTGTTGTGGGAAGGTGCATGTGGGTCAAGGTTGCAATGGCTTTGAGTTCAGGTGTTTTCATTGCGGAGATCGTGGCCTCAAGATCGCGGAATGTCCCTAGTTAGCTGGCCAGAGAGCGTTACCGCCACCCCCGGGAGCCGGAGGAGCATCGGGAACTGGTTCGGGCCGTGGAGCAGTTGGAGCAAGGCCACCTGGAAGAGTCTTCGTGATGGCGCGTTCGCAGGCGGAGTCGGAGGGCTTGGTGGAAGAAGAGTTGACAGGTAATCCTTGTCTTTGAGTCTATGCTTGTTTTCCCGAGAGTGTTGTGTTCTTTGTTGCCTTGGGTGTTATCTTGT